TAGTTATCGATGAAGGGGAGCTAGAGAGCTTCCAAGATGTAAGGTTATTTCGGAGAGAGCACTAGTTAAAAGCAATGAAAAAAAAGATAGAGTCATTGTAGAAAAAGTAGTACATATGATCTTGTTAAAATTTTAAAAAGAAAGAGGCTGTTAAAAAATAAATAGGTGTTCAAGTTGAAAAATGATGGTGACAAACTAGTAAGGTATAAAGCTCGATTAATGGTGAAAGGTTTTTTTCAAAAACTAGGCATCGATTTTGATGAGATCTTTCCTTAGTTGTGAAGATGAGTTCTATTCGAGTGGTACTGAGAGTAGCAGTTAGTTTGATTATTGAGCTTGAGTAACTTGATGTCAAGACTACATTTTTGCATGGTGACTTACAAGAGGACAATTATATGAATCAGCTTAAAGGTTTTGGAGTGAAAAGGAAGAGCACTTAGTTTGTAAATTGAAAAAAAACTTGTATGGCTTGAAATAAGCTCCACGATAGTGGTATAAAAAGTTTGATTCTTTTATGGTGAGCCATAGCTATAAAAGAATGGTAACAAATCCTTATGTGTGTGTTAGAAAATTTCCTGATGATAACTTCATTATTCGTTTATTATATGTTTATGATATATTAATTATGGGACAAGATGCTAGTATGGTTCGTAGATTGAAAGAATAATTGTCTAAGTCCTTTGACATGAAGGATTTAGGTCTAATAAAGTAGATTCTTGATATGGACATTATCTGGGATAAAAGAACTGAAAAGCTGTAGTTGTTACAGGAAAAGTATGTTGAATGTGTATTTAGTAGATTCAACATGAAACATGCTAAATCAATTAGCAATCCACTTGCCAACCATTTTCATCTTAGTAAGAAATCTTGTTCGATGACTAAAAAAAAGCAACTCGCTATATCTAATATTCCCTATTCTTTTGCTGTCAGTTCTTTGATGTATCTTATGGTTTGCACATAGCCTGATATTGCTCATGCAATTAATGTAGTGAAAAGATTTATTTTTAATCCAAAAAGGGTTCATTGGGAAATAGTAAAATAGATTTTTAGATATTTGAGGGGTACTTCAAAAATGTGCTTGAGTTATGGAGTTTCACAACTAGTTCTAAAAGGGTTTATTGATACTGACATGGTAGGTGATCTTGATGGTAGGAAATCTACTTCAGGGCATTTGTTTACTTTTGTAGAAGGAGCTATATTTTGACAGTTTAAGTTGTAAAAGTGTGTTGCTTTATCAACTATAGAAGTTAAGTATATTACAGCAATCGAAGCAAGTAAAGAAATACTTTGGATGAAACTTTTTCTTCTTGAATTTAGGTTGAATCAGAAAGAGTATGTGATATTTTGTGATAGTTAAAGTATTTTAGATTTAAGTAAGAATGCCATGTACCATGCTAGAACGAAATACATTCATGTTAGATATCATTGGTTATGTTCAGTGATTGAAGAATAACATATACGATTGAAAAAAATCCATATTGAGAATGTAACAGATATGTTGACTATGACACTTCCCAAAAAGAAGCTTGAGCTCTACATTAACTTAGCTAGAATGAGTTTTTTGGCCAAGGTATATTCTAAATGAAACTACTATGGTGATGAATCTTCTCTCAATGGGGCTGAAGGGAAAAATTGTTAGAAAAATGGGGTCCAACCCCATGTAATTAGGTTTGGACTAATCAAAGGCTATAAGCCTTGGTCTTTCTTTATACATAGAGCCTTACTACTTAATAAAAAGAGGTAGGACTGTTTTAAAGAGAAAAAGAAGGTAGTGTCGTAAACTAAGAAAAAAATAGGGAAAAAAACCATAAATATATATAAAAAAGAATGGATAGTTGGTTGAACAGAAGTTGATCCGTGGTCCGATTGAGCTAAAATTTTATCAGCAGGTTAATGATTTAGAGTTTTACATTTTGAACAGTAAAGATTGAGTTTGAAGCTCTCTAGGAACAAATCCAATGTGTATTTGTTGAGTTACCTATTTAGTGAGATTTCTTCAATTGTCTTTCTAATTGTTGATTAGCTCTAGTTTTAGCTAGAGAAAAAATTTGTATATCCATTATTTGATAGTGGAGTTTTTTTCTAATGGTCTATAATTTTTTTTCCCTCTACATTGAAAGGGTTTTCACGTAAATTTTGGTGTGCTTTATTTTTTTTACGTTATTAATTGTTAGTTGTTATCTATTACTGTGTGTTTATTATGATTTATTTCTTATGCGTTGTTGTGTTTATTGCTTCAGGCCTAACAAAAACATGAAAAATTAAAAAAGTCACAACTTTTAAAATAATGATTTTTTAATAAAAATAATGAAGAAAAAGAAAAGAAAAAACCTAAAATTTTTTTACCGTTGATCAATGACTCTACCAACATTTCAAAACCACCACCATTATTCCCTGATGGGAATCTGATTCATTTGCCTCTTTCTTCGAACCATCCATAGAGAAAAAATAGGATGGTTCAGAGCCCCCATGTAACTTAGTGTTATGAAGGTTCGAGGAAAAAATGTTATCAAATGGAGACTTTGATTGGAGATTGAAATGTGAAATAGCTGCTTAAGCTGTAGAAAAAGGAAAAAACAAAAAGGTGTTGGAGAACTAGTTGTAATAGAGTCAATGCCCATTGCCAAATCAAAAATGAATCAAGAAAGGAAAAGAGACCTTTTAGAAACTTCTTGCAAACAACTACATGCTTAGCTCTCACCTAAAACCCTGTTATAACAGTAACATTTAAAAACCCAAAACCTGTTTATAAACATAAACATTCATTTATTTTTCAAAACTAATTATAAAGCCTTGAAAATCTTTCTAATCTCTATTAATAAATTTTTTATATATCTTTTTTATCAATGCATTAATCAATGGAAAAATTACTATAAAATAAAAAAATAAAATAAACAATACACTAACCTCAAAATTGAATATCCAAGAAGTTTGACAAAACCTTGAGACAAACAAAGAGGGAAAAAATCAATAAAAAACAAATTTACAACTTTATACAAACAAAATGTAGAACCAAAAGCTACTAAATAAGACAAATTATGCAACAAGGAAACCTTAATAGCAAATCATTGGCAATAAGGATACTGTAAACCAAGTTTGTATCTAAATGAAAACTTTAATAGTAGAGAATAGACAATAAGGACCCCATAAAACAAATTTTTGTAATTTCTTCAATAACATAAGATAAACAGTAATGAACTCGTAATACAAATTTGTGTCTTAAACTTCTATGTTAAAAATTACAACCTACACTCCCTTCAATATAAGAATGTATAATAGGAATACCAAGTCAACAAAACCCAAAACAAAAAATAAGCACATTCAATTAAAAAAGAAAAAAAGAACAACAAATTTGACCAAAAAATACAAAAAAAAAATTGAAACACTAATGAAAACCCAAAAAAATAAGTTCCAATTTTCATCAAAGATCATAACATGCAAACAAAAATAATAAATGGAAAGCACATTAAAAACAACATGCAACCCATCAAAAACACCTAAAGAAAACCTAAAAAGAAATTTACAGCCTCAATTAAACAAAGAAAAAAATACAAATTCTAGCAGAAAAAATTGAGAAAAATTAAAGAGAAACAAAAAAAAAATGATATTCACACACCACACTCTCTTAAAAGCTCTCGAACAACAATGAAAACCTATAAAAAAATCTCCATATTAAACTTTAAACAACAAACCTCTGCAAGTAAAAAAAAAATTGTCAAAGAAAAAGCAACACAAAAAATACCTGAAAAAAAAAAAAAAAACAAATAGATGTAAGAAGCAGAAAAAACTTCTTCTCAACCTTACCAAAGCCATAAACTTCTAAATATCCTTCTACTCTCCCTAAAACGATTCAGCACTAATAATAATAATAATAAAATTACATGAAACCTCATGGGACCCTTTTTATATAAAGGTGTATAGATGTTCTTACAGCTGATTTGGAATCATCTAAACCCTGAAGGGAGTGTGGCTTGCATGAAAAGCTAGGTAAAATGCACAGTCCATGGTGTAGCATGATTGTTACCGATTAAACACTGGAGTTTATTTTTTAATCCACCATCACAACTTTTTTATGTTTTTACTTTTTTGTCCTCCTAAGTTAAGTTATAAAGACAAAACTATCCTTATAATTTAAATTTTTTTCTTTTGATTTTTTTAATTAAAAATTATAAATAATTTTGTTAATTTAATATAATAGATAAATTTTATTATTATATAATAAATAAATAAATAAATAAATAAATTTTATTATATAATAAACTAATAAATATATAAATAAAATAATTTTGTTAATTTAATATAATAGATAAATTTTATTATATAATAAATTAATAAATAAATGAATTTTATTATTATATAATAAACTAATAAATATATAAACTTAATTATTTATTAAACTATTATTTGACTTAAAATAAATAATAAATTTTCAATTATTTATTAAATTTATAAATATTACATAATTTAAAATTTTTTACATATAATTTTTAATTTATTTCCTTAATGGTCAATTCTTTTCTTTTTACAATTCATCTCACATCACAATTGCATTTACAGCAAAATATATATTTTATTTTTTATCTTAATCTCACCACCACAGTAACAAATCTCACTTTTCCACCATTATTTTCAATCTCAACAAAATCAATTTAAAAATCTATCCAAATGGATCCTTAATTATTACAACTAGAATATTCTTTGACAAACATCTTGACTGATGCGTGTAAATCTGTTTATATTTTCTACTGTTGGCGTTCTATTAGTGATTAAAATAATAATGTCCAACTTAATAATAAATGCTCGTAAACATACAATATGAAAACCATATAGCAAAATCTTTGTTTTTTGATTTTCTACCAACTTTTTTACTTCACTATTTATTTGGTTTAGCACCATGGAATTAATGCACGAAAATGATTGTTGGATAAAAAACAATGATAATCACATGATTAAATCACTCTTTCACAGATCAAAGTAAGCAAAAGACTGTTTTCATTTGTATATTTTTGTGTATTGTGTAAGATAAAAGCTCTAATGCTAATGAACAAAAACTGTGCTCAAAAGATTGTAGTGAAACTAGCTTCAAAGCTATGTGCATTTTAGATATAACTAATCTAACTTTAAACTTCAAGCTCCATTTGAATAACTCCTCATTTTCCTCGACTTTCTTAGCCTCCAAATAATTGCAGAAGGGCTTGGACAGATTCGATATGGAATTTTTGGTGAAGGAATATCAGGCACCCTGCAATCAATGAGGGGACATTTAACTTATTAAATTTGCAAAATCACCAAGAAAAGTTGTTTCCTTTCCCAACTAAGGATGCAAGAAAATGAGAAACCTAAAAAAAAAAAAATGGTGGGTTTATCTCACTGTAATCCACAAATCTCAATTTGGGAAAAGTCCATGTTAGTTGAACTGTCTAGTGCTGGTAGCTTTTTTCTGGACTTGGCCCTCAGTGGTTGCAATTCGAGTTGCTTGATGGCAAGTACTCTGCAGTTCAAGCTGTTTGATATGTTGTCGTGGGCCATGGCCAACCTGTGCCAACATGCCAAAGAAAACACTGATTTGAGTTTTGTTATCAGTAATTTTTCCTTGGCTTACACCATGACCAATGCAATTTGCAACAACGATATGTTCAAAACTAATTGTTAACTCTGAATTGGGTAATCTGCTTTTATTCTAAAGAATCACATTCAAATTTTACTTTCAACTCTGAAACTGCTTACTCATCAATTTCATGACTGAAAGTAAACGAACAAGAGAAGAAAGTTGTATATAAATGTAATAATATGCTAATGAATATGTTGTCAAACAACAACTATAAGAAAAAAGGATTTTAGTGACGAAATATTTTTAACAAAAATTTTCCGTCGCTAAAAAGTTCATAACCTAGAAATTTCCGACGGATTGCCTTCTAATTAGGTTCCTCATAAGAGATCTTGCCCTAGTCGACAGAAAATACTTGATAATCCAAAGGTTTCAGAACCGCCCCAATCCCTCATTCGTTAGGCTGGAGGGATCCTCTATACACTGCTAACAGACAGGGGAGTTTCTTTGCGGGAAGCATAAACAATTACTCAAAACTGTATTTAGCATAATAGGTGGACCCCAAATTTTTTTTGCTGTTTCTCCACCATTGACGTAGTCAGATGCTTCTACGTGCCGGGTTTAGTGAACAATGCCTGAAAATTTGCACCCAAAAGTGCAGCCGCCGGGGCCTATTTCTTTGTGGTCCTTCTCATTTCTCAGGCATCATCATAAATAATTGGCTGTATCCATCCATTTAATTAATAATTGAGTCTCAAAATGGTCAGGAAAGTTACCGTACCTAAGATCTTATGACAGTTTGACCATTTCTTGTACCTTCCTAGAAAGCTTCCCTTACTCTCGGCCTATTCAAAAACACCCTGGAAATAATATCTGTAATTCACCCGTCCATGCTCCAGAAGAGTGATCATGACAACAATGATTAAGCAAGAAAATGCATTTTACAAGAAGCGGATTGACTCACTTGTAAAGAAAGCTATGATCATGAAGACCAACAACAAGAACAGAGGCTCCAATCTCTCGCACCATGGCCACAATCTTCCCGCCTTCCTGGTCGCCTTCCGTGACAATCATCTCAATATTTGTCTGTAACAAAATTATCTGATTATGGCATATCCGTGGGATAATTTGTCACAAAACAAAACATTGAAAAAAAAAAAAAAGAAGATTCTGCTCTATCTATTAACCTGGGTTGACAGGAAATTGAGTTGACTCACGTTAAAGAAATTGGAGTTACATATTTCCTTGAAGGAGAGAGCCAGCTGATAGCCTTGCAAGCGAAGCAGTCTTGCTTTCTTCTTGCTTCTGGATTTCGGAGGAGAGAAGACAAGAAGGAGCGTTAGCAAGTCTCCATATCGAAGTAAATTGTGGAGAGTCCATTGGAGTGCTGCTCTTGCTACATCCAAATCTTCTACTACCACAACTACTTTCCTCACATCCATTTCCCTCCCTCACCTTTTTTTTTTTCTTATCCTTTTTTCCCCTCTCTCTGTCTCTCTCGAGTAGTAGTAGTAGTAGTTGTAGAGAGATAGACACTTTTTCTGAGACGGGATCGTGTTAAAAAGCTAAGACTATAATGGGATTTGAACTTTTAAATGAGTTTGGTTCTTTTTGTCAACACTTGCAATTTGCAAATATTGATCGCCTTTTATGGGCTATTCTCTGATCTCTTTCTTCTTTCTATCTGATATCCCTTTCTCTCTCTATAGGTTACCCAAAATGGCTAGTAATTACTGAGGCAGCTTAACTTAAATATTGAACCAACCTCACAAAATTAAAGCGGGTTCACACTTGAACAATTTTAGAGCATAAACAAGCAGGATATTGGTATTTTTATTTACTTGAATATGAATATCCATTTCTTCAAAATAATAATAATAAAAACAATATGAATATCCATTAATTGAACATGTGGCCTTAAATCTCAGTGATGGATAAAGAAATGAAAAGTCAGAAAATCTTTGGAAATTAATTGCTTAATCAATCATAATCGAGGTCCATAATTATTTGATGTAATAGAATTAGCACTACTTTTTAAGTTCATTTTCTTAAGAAAATAAAATTTGAGTGATAAAAATCCCAAAATGATGGTACAATGGTTGTCCCTATTGAAATCCTTTTCAATAATTAATGCCTAGTCGATCACTTGATCTTTATAGGTTAAGAAAATTTCTTTTGATCCCTGTTTAAATACCATTGTTTTTCCCATTAAAAAAAACCTTGTTTTTCATGATTTTCCAAATATGTAATTTGTTTTATTTTTTTTCGAAAAAGACAAGGATATAATAGAGCCTCCAAAATAAACAAAAAAAATTCACTCAGTTATAAGCGAGAGAAGTCTAATTTGTTTTAGGATGTGAAAATCATTAAACAGTTAAAATTGCAGCGGCCGGGCATGCATCTGAGTGACCATGGCCTCTGTGTCCTACGTTGTACGTGGTCATAACAGATACATAACATGCTGATTTAAAAATTAAAAATTAATTGAACAATACTAAACCAGTGGCTGTCTATCGGTCTTGTCGTATGATTTTATTAATTGAATTTAATATTGGAAAATTTTACTTACTTATTTTAGAAGCTGATGAGATTACTTTGAAGTTGGAAGAGAAGCAGTTGCTTGGCTTCACCTCGTTGCCTTTTCTACACTTCTACTTTTTTTTTTTTTTTTTTCAATTCTTTTTCATCTTTCAATTACAGTCTGAGCCACTTCCATATGTCTGATCCACTCACTAATTGGTCATTGATTTTATTGAACACTAGTTTTAAGCCCAAGCGAAATATGAGTATGCAATTATTTATAGTAAAAAATTTGGTTATAATATAATTAATAATTTTATAAGAACATAGAATTTTCAATGTAAAATCTTTAGGAGAAAAATAAATATTGTAGACAAATAGGTAATTATATAATAAAATATAATGAAAGATGCTTCTGTATCATAACCATAGTGATATTTTAAAAAATTTAATAATTTTTTATTCAAACTTTTGAGATTTGCTCCGCTTAAAATTAATCTTTTCTACAAACTATTTTCATACTTTTCAGATAGACAATATTTCAACATTCTTTATTTTTTTAGTATAATATTATGGATTTTATTAGTGCATATTTCATATTTTTTAGTCAAACTTAAAATTTTAAATATAGAAAACTAATTATACAATTATGAAAGGGGAAGGATCAACTTACATCAATATACAATTAAAATGTTTTACACTTTTGTTTAATCTTTAATTTCAATAAATTTAAGAGCTGGAAAAGATAAATGAAAAATAAGTTTAATTTTATTTTTTAAATTTATTGAAATTAATAATTAAAAAAAATTTAAAAAAATTTAAAACCTTTTTGGTGTAACTTAATCCCTCCCCATTATAGAAACCACAAAATTATTGCAAAATGGTAGTGGCAAGTTTGAATATTTCAAATAAAAAGTCCCATGCGTATTGGGTGGTCAGAGAAAATTGCAATTTTGTCTAAAATCATGATATAAAGAAATTTTTATGCCTATTTTCAAGGACTTGAATTTTGAATTTAATGCAAGAAAATCAATAACTAAATAAAAAATATATCATTCTAAATCACGGAAAAAAATTTAAAATATTTTTTGGTTTTACATATTTTCAAGTTTATATGGGTGCATATAAAACTTTATTGTAGCATCAATTATTACCCTTGAAATAAATTTTATTTTACTTCTTTTGTTTTTGATAATCAATTTAAAAATGATAAATCAATAGATAGTGGTTTTTTAATAAAAAAATATGTCCAAGCATGATTTTATGCATAATAATAACTTATTCAGTATCTAGAATAATAATATAAATAAAAAATAAATTATCAAATTTCATTGCTTTTTACTTTATTCATAGTAAAAAATATTCATGTAAATAAATTTCCCAAACTAATAAGAATTTTGCATTTACATAAAACGTATTCATGTTTGATTATACATGTTGGCAGATGATATTTGTGTATAAACAATGTGTATGTAAAAAAAATCCTTAAAATGTAGAAAATAAATAGAAAGAGGAAAGTGTAGACACACATTAGAGAAGTATTTCAATAAAAAACTAATTATAAATTAAAATGTAGTTTTATTGATTATAAAAATAAGATGAAATTAAACTTATTCATGGGTCGAGCTGTTTGTCTAAACTCGAAAGCCTGCCCAAAATTTTAAAAGGCTTGAACATGAATATTAAACTTGTTAAAAGAGTTTGGATAAATAAATGAGATCTAATAAAAAATAAAGTCAAGTTTGGGTTTCATCATTTAAGGCCCGAGCTAAGTCCGACTCAAACCATAAATTAAAAAATTATTTTTATTATAATAGAATAACATCCATTTTCTTTATTACTTTAATAGGATAAAGCTTAATTATTTCTTTATGCAAACCATTAAAATAATAATCTAATTTTAAATTACATTTAATAAAATTAAATTGAATCCAAACTCAAATAACTCATAAATTCAATTAAAATTAATTAAATTAGCTAAATTAATAATTTAAAAAATTGAAAATTTTATTTTTTTTCAATTTTAAATATTAGTGCTTTAGGCAGGTTTAGACTTTATTATTATATGTAGGAATGGTTTTAAGCAGAAAATGAGGCTTGAAAAATAAAATCGGACTGAACCTAAATTTGATTAAAATACTAGAATATCATGCTAAGCTTGGCTCGAACCCAGCCAAGTCTGGTCTATGAATAGCTCTAACTATTTAAAAAATTTAAACTATTAGCTTTTTTTCTTTAATTTTATTTTAAAAGTCATAAGCCAACTAAAGACAGAATAAATTAAACAAAAACAAAGTAATAAGAATATAAAGAAACCAAGATCAATGAAACTATCACAAACTAATAAAAAGCACGAATGATAATAGCTGAGAGATTAATAAATAAATAAAGAAAAGGTAGAAGCTTGTAGTTTTTGTCAAAGGTATATGAAACAATAGAAAGAACTTACAATCTACTTATTGAAGCACAGTAATTTATATACACAAAGTTGTAAATAAAAGTAATTGTAAAATTTTGAATTTGGATGGTTGATTCAATTAAATTAAGAGTAACAGTTAATTGTAATATTTGTTTTAATGTTGTTAATTTTTTTTTATATTGACTGTATCAGTTGGTATGCTTCAGTTATATTAAAATATAATAAACTTATGATGATTTTTTATATTGGACTTGATACCCGATAATACCGGTTGTTTTCGTTGGTTTCAATTAATTTGTTTTAGTCGGTATGTAGATATAAAATATATTTTATAGTTTTTAACTTGTCATTTGCTATTAAATTATTTTTAACCTAATTACAATAAAATTAATTAACAAAATAACCCTTAAAAGTTGAGTTTCTTTATTTTTTGTTGTAACTTGTTTTCTTTTATACTTTATTTTTTCCCTCTCTAAAGTTTACTAATTATGAAGCCAAGGTTTTTTTTTATCTCTTTGTTTTTATTTTATTATTTACATGAAAAAAATAAATATGATTACATTAAAAGTTTTAAAATATCATAATAAAGTGATAATATTATTTTTTATACTTTTAAACTTATTTATTTTATTTTTAAAGATATTACATATTTATTTTGTAGATTGTTAGTAATATTATTTTGTACAAGTTCATATATATTTTATAAATTTATTTGTACTAGATAAAACAAAATCCAAAATTATATATGGAAACAACTGGTCCCAATTTATATAATTTCTTTAAAAAAAAAAATCCAAAACGTTATCCATTATAGCATTAACTACTTTGATTTATTTACATTAGAGATTTCTTTTTCACATGTTAAAAAAACCCTTAAATATACACATTATAAAATTATGAAAATAAAATATCTATAATTAAATTGATTTTTACCAAATTCAAATATAAAATTATGTAACTTAATAGTGAAATAAAAATTTTAATTTGTCTAAACAAAAGTAAAATGAAAATAATGCAAATCAAAGTAGGTTTTTACATATTTATTGTAAACACCCTATTTGGTTCAGGCCCGAACCAATTGGACCTGGCTCAATAGGGTCCAAGTTATCAGGCCCAATTACCCTTTTTTATTTTCAATTTTATTTATTATTTTATTATTTTATTATTTCATTTATTATTTTTTGGTTTTTATCTTTTGTTGATTATCATTGATTTTTCCTTTTTTTTTGCTTGATTTATCTTTTATGTTAAGTGTTTAATAAGATAATAGTGATAATGTAAAAAAAGGAAAAAATAATAATAATAAATAAAAAAAGGCTCTGCCATGGATTAGGGTTGGCAGAGTTGTAATGGATTTAATTTGTTAAGGATAATACAAAAATCTAGTCAGAGGACAAGTTGTGAGATTAATCATAAACTCTTCTGATTTTGTCCTATAAATACATATATAGACATAACAATGGACACATAGAAAAGATATAGATCACTGGTAGTAAGATAGAAAATAATAGGGAATATAGAAACAGATAAAAAACATAAAGGAAATCACGCAAAATGAAGCTAAAAGGTAGTAAAAAAATTTGGGAGATTTTTGGTTAAAAAAATTTTTTTTTGCAAATTTTTTGGAAAGTTTCTAGATTTCGGTGGAATTTTTAGGCAACGTTTGAATTTTTTGATGAGATTCTCAGATTTAGGCAAGTTTTCTAGTTTTTGATGACATAATTTTAGAAACTGATGAAGTTTCGACCAATTT